TTTTTTTTCCTTCTCCCTTTAGAGACAAAGAATTCCCTTCTCATGATTATCCTAAGATCTAAGATTATCCTAAGATCTCTTTGCCTCCCAGGGTGGATGGTGGCAGATGCCCTTGCAATTACTTGCTTCCAGACTCCTCTTTGATAAGTGCTTGAGGGCACCTCATTCTGCCAGTTTATCTTGCCACCTCAATGAATCGCTAGCTGTGAGTCAGGAATCCCTACACAATCCATTTAAATGACTGTGGCAGGGCCTCTTCAGACCCTGTGGAAGCTGAAGGTGTGGGCACGTCCATCTCCGATGAAATGCGAATGGGTGCTGGGCACGCGGGGGAAGGCAGAGAACTCAAGAGGCAGAGAAGGAAGCTAATAACTAATTACACCAACTCCACAATTAAGACTAACGTTGGGGGCAAACTCTTTGCTCTGAAAGTCATAAACACTTAGGTGAAACAAAGCTTCCATTTCCAGTCGGCCTAATTCTGGTATTAGCGTTGGCAGGGGCCGTGCAGGAGGGGCGGTGTGCAGTGGTGGCCGAGTTGCCGACAGAGGGTGAGGGAGCTGGGCGCGTGGTGCGGGCGCCGAGGTCGCGAGCTGAGGAACTTTAAAACCTCTCAAAGCACAGAACTATCAATCAAGTAGGAACTGTGCCCCTGGGGAAGGTCGCAGATTTAAGGTTGCGAGGACAAGGGCAAAGAAGTGCGAAGCGGTCGGGTGTGCATTCAGGCAGGCCGGCCCAGCGCAGACGCCTGGGAGAGGTACCCAGCAGCCCCTACAGGTCTCTGCCGCGCCCCCGCTACAGCGCCCAGGCGCCCGCCGGGCACAGGGCTCGGCACCTGCCGGGGACGGCCCTTCACGCTGCTCCCTGTGATTGGTGGCTCTGGTCCGGGGCGTGGCCCCAAGGGCGGCACGTAGCCCTACTCTTGCAGTGAGCCAAGATTGTGCCACTGCACTCCAGCCTGGGCGACAGAGCGAGACTCCGTCTTAAAAAAAAAAAAAAAATTTAAACAAAAAAAATCT